GATGTCACGGATGAAAGCTAGTACTAAATGGTCTCTTACCGTTTTTTTTTATAAAAAATAAAACCTTCTGCAAACCTATTTCAATTAAATGTTAGTCTAATTTGTCTTTTTCGAGTAAATTGTTTTTTTTTAACTCTTAAAATGGACAATAAGCTGGCGGCCCACCTAGTGGATTGCAGTAACCGTCGACTATAGACATGAACAGCACTATGAACATAATAGAATACACAGTGGTGCTCATGCCAATTTATACATAGTTTTAGCCGTGCCCACCTCAGAATTGTCTACTGTCCGTCTCATGATGCAAGCCCTATACATACACCACACTATATTAGTCGTTAGCTATCCACTGCTGAACCTAGGCTTCTCTTATAAAGAGGGGTATTGCCAGTTATTGTCACATTTGGCAGGCGGGTTGGCAACTGCACTTAGGCTTTGGTGATGTTTTTAAATGGATTAAATTGACTTAGTCGCCTCTTACGACACCGATGGAAAAGAAAGGGATTATTCATTCTATGTTGGATTTACAGGCGATAAATAATATTACATACATACATACATACATATCTGTCACGCCTGTCTCCCATTAGGGTGGGCAGAAACAATGTAACGCCAAATGCTTCGATTCAAACAAACCTCTTTCGCTTCTTCCACATTCATCAATCTTTTCATACACGCTCGCCGGTTACGGGTACTTTTAATTTGGCCCTTCTTCAGCACGTCGCCTATTTGGTCGACATACGTCCGTCTAGGGTGGCCCCTACCGACATCTCTATAAATAAATAAAATAAAAAATCTTAAAAAAAATAATAAAAAAAATAAAAAAATAAAACAAAATTAATTCTTATAAATAATCTTAAAAACGCCAATTTATATTACTAACATTTACCCGCAACTTCTTCTGTGTGACAGGGATATTTCGATTGATCCGGATAAAAAGTAGCGTAAATAGCCACTTTCTCGATCCCTAATATTAGAAAGGAAAAGAAAAAGGATTTATTCATAGAATCATACGACTTATACAGTAGTATAAATTAAAACACTAAGCATAATAATATAATTGAAAACCAAAACAGAAAAAGTGTACTTGTGTGTGTGTGTGTGTGCTGCGAAATAGGTTCATGCTCAGCATATTGCTGCAGCGTTTGAGGCTATACAGCGTTATTTTTCAGCATAAATCCAATTATGGGTACACCAAAGCATAGTATTTTCGGTGACGACCATGGTACTCTGTAATTTCAATGCCATATCCCACTTAAAAACTGAAATATAATTGCTTCAAGACAGTAACACATATAGGACATAGCCTAGCGCAGGCGTAGCGGAAGATTATGGAGCCCAGCCGTCCATACCCGAAGAGTTCTGACCACTGTCTTTCTTATCTGTGGCGGTGACAAGAGCTACAGCTCTAGTTCAGCGGGCCGAGGCATACAGTTAGGCTGACGTTCGCATTACAGGTGCTCATTATTAGAGAACACGAATTGATTCCGAAATTAGTCGAAACTTCTCGATCTAGTTACACGTAAATTAAGCCGCTAGTGATTACATTAAAACAGATGAGTTTTGTACGAAATTTATTTATATTTATTATAATAAGTAAGCACATAAGTCACGTGACACCCCGTAGGAGCACCGCAGTGTACAGAGAGAACCATCCACTTTTGATGGCAGTTAAATTTACATATTATTATTTATTTTATTTATAATACGTTTTAATTTACACTATGAATAAAATGTAATAACAGATATTAGCTACTCATCTTCAAAAAAATCATTTAACTTATGTATGTTTTATTTATTATCTTTAACTTATGTATGTTTTATTTATTATCTTTAACTTACAGTATGTTTTATTAATTATCACAATACTATAATTAAATTAGATTTATTAGACATTTAAAATATTTACCAATAATGAGGTTAGATTCTGAGTTGCACTGCGTCATAGATAAATCACTTGTGCATGCAGTTACGTGTTATTAGGTCGCGACTATCGAATGGTTGGGGAAAGTTCATAAGTCAATTGCCAATTTACCCCTTATTTATTGATTATACTATTATTATTATATATTGGCCATGTATCTCGGCATAGAACAGGCCATCCCTTTCTTTCCCGTAGGTGTCGTAAGAGACGACTATAGGAATTTAATGCTAGAGGGATGGTAAGGATTGTCCTTTTTAAAACATCTTTAAAAACCTAACTGCGGTTGCCAACCCGCCTGCCAAGCGTGGCAATTACTGGCCAAAACTCCCCTTATGGGTAAGGCTTATGTTCAGCAGTGGACAGTTAACGGCTGAAAGAATAAAAAAATAATATTAAAAATTATTATAGTTTATTTAAACGCTTGCGTTAATTAATAAGTGAGAGGTGGTTTTTTTATATGTCTTCAAACTGCATACCAGCAGATGGCGTCCATAAAAATACGGATATTTCACAATTACTTTATTAGTTACTCTTTATAATTACTCCCCTCCATCCAAAGGTTGCCTGGAAGAGATCGCTCTTAGCGATAAGGACGCCCATTGTTTTCTCACTGTGATTATTTCTTGTAATTGTTTGTATTTATAATAAGTTTACTATTGTAATCTTATGGAGGAAACAATAAAGAGTATCTATCTATTTATCTATGTACCGTCTATTATTTTTTTTGGATGATTTACTTAGTTTTTTTTTTTGTAAATAGTTCGCCTGTTTGCAATTGTAGTTCACATGTAACCCAGAATTCGGTTTCCAGTCAGAATACCCTTTTGTTTTCAACAACAATCAACTTTTTATTTTTATTTCGTATTGCCAGGTTATAAAAGATTCCGTCCCATTGTTTTCGACGTGGTAACTTATTGCCTATTTCTAAAATATCTATGTTTCGGTATGTACTGAGTTAGATGCGATATTTAATCTTTTTGAACTATAAAAAGAAATAAGTTCTACATTAGTATAAGTATAATTTTATTGTAGTTAGTTTGTAAGCCATTAAATTGTATGAAAAAATAACATATCTCATTACATATAATATTCTAAACTTATATAGATAGAGCATCAAGTCAGTCTGTTTCGTCGTGAAGCAGTTGTGTTTGCATGGCTGTGTTTCGGTTTGAAGATTGGTTTATGGCGTGAATTTACAGGGTACAGAGGAATAACACCTGAGTCCACAGGAATGGCAACGCATGGGGGGTATCATGGGCGAAACAGTATACTCTGTTATGTCCATGGTACTGCTCATGTCTATAGGCGACGGTTGTCACTTTCCATCAGGTGGACCGTCAGCTTGGTTGCCATTCTAAGTTGTATAAAAAAAAATATTAAATGTCGGTAGGTTTAGTGTTATAAAAAAAATACTACATTCTCATTTGTGTACAAGATTAGAGAATCAATTTCCAGCAGCAGTATTTCCGAACCGATACGACATCAGAACCTTCAAGAAAAGAGTATATTCCTTTTTAAAAGGCCGGCAGCACACCTGCAATGCCGTTGGTGTTGTGGGTGATCATGGGCGGCGGTAGTCACTTATCATCAGGTGAGCCGCATGCTCGTTTGCCCCCTGTGTTGTAAAAAAAATCATCTCTGACGTCATAATACAGTAAAAATACCTTACAGCTGTATTGCCTACCTTTTCTTTTAATATATTTGGTTGTACCCCGTCTCACTCACACAAAGTGTATTCACGTATTATTATTGTTACCAACTTCAATGGAGGTATTCCTGGAATTTTATTTCCAAATTCGACACTGTAATATTAACTTTGAGCCAGTATTTGTTTCAGAACTGAAACAATGAAACAACCCAGTTTTGCTATTACGGCAAATAATGCAATAAATGAATAGCTCGAAGGGTTTTTCACGTTACTAGCTATTACTCGCGACTTCCTTCGCGTGTATCATTATATTATGGTATAATATATCGTACGTATTTATTTAGTTATATATATATAATCTATCTATGTTTAAATTTCATTCAAATCCTTTCAGTCATTTAAGCTATATTAGTAATAAACATACAAACCTACATTCTGAAAATATTTCACATTTATAATTAGTAGTATATGTAGAATTTTCCTTTTATTTTTTTTTTTGATAATGATATCTAAAAAGAGAAAACTTTCACTTCGTATATGTGTATTTTTCGATATATGTTACTTTAATTTTTAAACCGATTTTGATAATTCTTTTTGTTATGTATGGTAACTGTATAAGTATCTATCTGGCAAATAACTGTTGGTTACGAAATATAATCTTTATGTAAACAGGCGATTTTGAGTTTTAAATTCAAATATTTATAATGTATCTATGGTATGTGTGCGTGCATGTACGCATGTGCGCGTTTGTGTGGGTGCATACGACGCGCACAGGAGCGCGATTGCGTTTGTGTGCGTGTGCGTGCGTGCTTGTGTGTGTGTGTGTGTGTATATATTTTAGATGAATTGTTCTTTTATTTTATAGCTTCTTTTAGCTTCTTCAAAATGGAAGCGATTCTTAATTCATCTATATATATACACATTATTATTTATATGTTACTAGGGTCGTTATAGTAGTTTTGTGCTTTAAATTTTCATCAAAAACTATCCACTGTCCACTGCTGAACATAGGTCTTCGTTATAACGGGGGTTTTAGCAGTAGTTGCCACGCTTGGCAGACGGATTGTCAACCGCAGTTTTTTTTAATGGGTGATAATGGAATGGTAAAGCGCGCTAACGGGATACGCTGGCGGAGCACCAGTGAAGGGTGATAGATGAGAATGAAAATAGGCCAGTTAGCCCATCATGATGAATTCATCAAGAATTAACCATGATAGTTTCCAGGGAGAACCGCGAGGAGGTTGACCTGGTTGGGTATATTGCTAGCAATGGGATTCTCAGTCTCCATTACCAATAATCCCTTTCCCTCCTAATCATTATTTTGGTTATAGATCTTGTGGTGGCCTTGTTATATATGGATGCATGAGTATAATTACACGCTACTAATAAGGATTATATAATTGTAAGGCATAAGAAAGAAAACTGTGATTTTTACAATTTAAATTATATTAAAATTAACATATCGTTATTAATTAAATGAAGTTATAAATGATGTTACATTATACAAGTTATCGTGGAAACGCACAACGGGAACATTTACATCAAAACCCTTCCGTTATCAACCAGCAGAGTCGTCCCAGTTATGCCTCTAGCTTTATCGCTGGCGACGTACAGGATCAAATCAGCCACTTCCTCAGGTTCAGACACTCTGCCTAAAGCGGTCCTTCCTTTGAAGTCATCCCATGTGATTGGAGCATCGGCAGTTTGCAAGAAGTCAGTCCTTGTCGGACCCGGATTCACAGCGTTCACTCTCACTCCGGAAGATGCAAGTTCCAAAGCAGCTCCAGCCGTGAAATGGTTGACGGCGGCTTTAGATACACAGTAGGCTATCTGGGGTGGAGAGGTTGATACGCGGAAACCAGCGGCGCTCGATATGTTTACAATGTTTCCTTTCGTTTTAACAAGATGCGGCGCAGCCAGCGAAGTAAGATGAATGACTGCCCGTACATTTATTCCCATTATATCGTCATATGCTTTGAGTATTTCTCCACTCAGAATGGAACCGTATGCCCCGATTCCTGCGTTGTTCACTAATACATCCAGTTTTCCAAACTTCTTGATGGTTTCGTTGACAATTCTTTTGGCGTCATCGTCGTTGGCAACGTCGGCTTTTATCGGAAGCGGTGTTCTACCGACGCGTTTACACTCTTGTACAACTTGTTTTAGTTTATCCTCATTCCTGCCAACTATAGCTACATCCGCACCTTCTCTGGCGAAGCTGATCGCTGTAACCGCTCCAATTCCAGCACTGGCGCCAGTGATAAGAACTACTTTACCGGAGAAACTCATTTCTGTTAAGTTACAAATGAGATAAATTCGAGATGAGGCCTGCGGATTGACTGACACATCTGAAATAAAGATATGGATAAAAATAGCATGTCATTCTTGTGAGATAACAGAAGTTACGTAACAATAACAAGATAGCTACACAGACGGACTATTTTTTATTATTATCACACACGTCTCCTGATTGCGCATGGCCAATATAGATACCGAACCGATATCTATATATTGGGTTTCTCTGGACATTGATAGTGGTAAAAAGGTCATCACTCATTTCGATATCGCCCATATTGTTTGGATATCTATTTTCAAATATGTTAAAAGTCTGTTATCCAATATTATTTTTTGGACAACAGAATTTTGACATATTCGTTATTGGATCATAATATAAATATTGCTATATATTATCTACTCCTAGTCTCTTTTTGAGAAGAAAATATTAGCGCATTATTAGAAGACTGGCTAGACCTTTATTTCGAGTCTGCTTTATACTGCTGAATAATATAACCACTCTTTAGAAATAAATGGTATTAAGACTATAGGCATACACAAGGCAGACTTAATTTCGCATTTTACACAGTCTAGGTCTAATTAAAATTTAATAAGTAAGTTAATAAATTTTTAATAATAAAAAGTAGTAATAAAAAAATAATAATAAAAAAGTAAATAAGTAATTCAGATGAATTACTGTAATTAATTAACTTATTTATTACTCAGATTTCAGATTATTTTAAACTCGGATGAGTTTATTGCATTTTTTTTTCAAATTTAACATATTTCAGTAAAGATAAAGCATATTCCTTATTAAAAGAGTGGCAGCACATCTGCAATGCTTCTGGTATTGTGGGTACTTATGGGTAGCGGTAGTTATTTACCATCAGGTGAGCCGCATGCTAAAACTATTTTAGGCCATACAAATGTCTTTATTTGTTCATAATTTCAAAATAAGTTCCTGACATTAGTGAAATAAAATGTCTGTATTATCTATGTCTATTAGTATATAAATCTTTACTAATATTTTAAGTATAAAAATTATTTCAGTATGTTCCAACAATTGTCACATATTTTTCACCACGACTGCCCTCCGTACGCTTTCTTTTTTTTTTTTATTCATCTTAGAATGGCAAACAAGTTGACGGCCCACCAGATGGAAAGTGGTAACCGTCCCCTATAGACATGAGCAGTACTATGGACATAACAGAGTATACTGTTTCGCCCATGATACCTCCCACGCGTTGCCATTCCTGGGGACTCAGGTGTTATTCCTCTGTACCCAGTAATTTCACGCCAGTTAAATGTAAATGTTAAACATGGTAAATGTCAAATATTCATTCATTCATATCAATTAACTGTCCACTGCTGGACATAGGCTTCCTCTTATAAGTGGTTATTTCAGTAGTTATCACGATTGGCAAGCGGGTTGGCAACCGCAGTTCGCTTTTGGTGATGTTTCAAGAGGGACTGCCTATTCCTCGACTGTTAAGTTACCTTAGTCGCTTCTTACGATACCTGTGGGTAAGGAAGACTTTGTACAATAGTTGATTGCTTGGGTACCTCTGTCCCATTCTTGTTTCAATCGTGAAGCAGTTGTGTTTGCATGGCTGTGTTTCGGTTTGAAGGGTGGGATATGGCGTGAATTTACTGAGTACAGAGGAATAACACCTGAGTACTCAGGAATGGCAACGCATGGGGGGTTATCATGGGCGAAACAGTATACTCTGTTATGTCCATGGTACTGAACATGTCTATAGGCGACGGTGTACGCGTAATTCATATTTATTGTATCTTTTTAAAATACTTTTTTTTTTATGACACAGAACAAATGTGCATACAGCTCACTTGATGGTAAGTGATTAATTACGCCGCTTACCGAATATTTTGTATTTTTGTCAATTATGTAACGTTAATAGCATTTTAATGACATTTATGTAATTTCTAGCTAATTACCTGTTTTAAAATTGTTGCATGCCCGGTAGGACATATACAATATAGCATAGTTATTTTTAATTATAACGAATAGCTAAACTTAATTTAGCTATTTAAACAGTTAATTTCGGATGCGATATTCTTATAATTAAATTTTCTACATTCATGGCGTCTCAGGTTCCGAACGCGGCAATTATGCAAACTGCGCTCCGTCTGCGTCCTGCTTATTTGTCGAGTGTTTTCTCGAGGGGCTAGTGATGTCAGTGGATATTTTTTTTTTCGATAAATCACTTATTTTTCTGTACTGCAATCGAATTAACGTTTAGAAACTGACATAAGCATTTATCTATTGCATTGACTATTGTTTATTATTTTTAATTTGTATTGTTATTTTTTAATTTATTAATATTGTAATAATATAGTTAATCAACATATTGAAAATATATTTCTGAATTGTATAAATAATTTTGTTATACTATAAAATTTCTTTATTTTCTAAATTTAGTTTACAGGACACGCTCGGTCTAGTGTAGGAATCAATGATAAATTTTGTGCTTATACAAACATACTTTGTTAATAATTACATTTTTACCTTCTTTATTTTTACAAGGGACCCGCTCCGGGTAAATAGAGCAGAGAACAATAAGACAGCCCATGTTATTCTCTGATAATATAGCTTTATATATGTAATTTTTGTACCCGGTTAAGATGGTTGGTCATTAAATAAAATTAGACAAGAAATACTAGATGGCGCTGGCGTCGAGACTTATTGTTGTTGATTATTTTGTAATTATACACACACAAACACGTAAATTTGAAGAAAAAATTCTAAATTGGTGAATATTTTTTTATTATTATGTATATATGAATGTGAAGTAACAAATAATAACCAACATAATCGCAATGATTCTTGATAGTGTGTTTTTTTTTTATAAAGTTGTGTACTGCAAGAGAATAAGGCAAAAATTATGATAAGTTATTAATATATTAGTAAAAAATAAATAAAACTTAAAATATTAGTTTTAAATTTAACATGATGTTATTATCTATTTAAAATTAATATTTTGTTCTTTGTTTTTTCTTAGTCGACAGTACTTTTAGAAATGAAAACGATAATGATTCAAATCATCTTCATTCAAATAGACTTGTTCACAAACACTTTTAATTCGTCATTTTTTTTAAAGCTACTGCAGGATTTGCAAAGTTGTTATCTGTTGTGAAGAGCCCGCAAGAAATTCAACAGTTACTCTTTTAAATCTCTGTTAACATTATATGTATTTATTTAAATGTACTATGTGTGTTAAATGTATAATGTGTATTTCATCTCCGTACTGAGATACATAGACAGCTCTTATTTTGTTAAATGATAAAATTTCCTAGCTTCTCTGAGATACGAGAACTCGAACTCGAACTCTTCTCGATATCATACGAGATCATCATTTATACCGTGTTCTTTGAAAAAGGTACATGGTTACACTGTATGTGTACAAAATATTAAAACATAATCGATAACAGTGAATTCGCTGGCAGAACATCACTATAACACTCATCGGCGATGCTACGACTCGATGAGCGCGGCGCATAGGAATCATCTATTTTCGATATCTCGTCGTTACGGATAACTCACTGTTTTGTTATTAACTAGTTATTTCTTGTACATCACTTACGTTGAGAACAGTTGTGACACGGACTTTATTGAACGTTGCCAGTAACAATACAGTTGTGTGGTGTAACAACATTATTAAGTTCACCGCACTAGCTCGGTGTGTATTTGTGAGAAGCGATAGTTATTTCTCTTTCGTATTTCAACCGGTTTCGAGACAGTTTTTCATTTTATTTCATTTGGAAAATAAATAAATTTCTTATTACACTTCGTATATATATATAAATGATACACAAAAATCAGCTAAGTTTCCATAAGTAAATAGAAAATATTTAAAATTAAATAGATAGAATCAAAATTTAAAATCTAATAATAAAAATGAATTAGTAAAAAATTAAGCATGATACATGATATGATTTTTAACTGTCATCAAAAATGGATGATTCTATCTGTAAATTGCGGTGTCCCTACGGGGTGTCACGTGTATACAACTTAGAATGGCAAACAAGCTGACGGCCCACCTGATGGAAAGTGGTAACCGTCGCCTATAGACTCGAGCAGTACCATGGACATAACATAGTATACTGTTTCGCCAATGATACCCCCCATGCGTTGCCATTCCTGAGGACTCAGGTGTTTTTCCTCTGTACCCTGTAAATTCACGCCATATCCCACCCTTCAAACCGAAACACAGCCATGTAAATACAACTGCTTCACGGTTGAAACACGAATGGGACAGAGGTACCCAAGCAATCGACTTTTGTACAAAGTCTCCCTCTGCTCTAAATATATAATACAAAATTATAATAACTAATTTGTACCATGTGACATGGCATGGTAATAAATATAAATAAATAAATAAAACAAGAAACATATTACCCACTCAGTTGTAAATAGCAAGGCAAAATGTTCCCAATTCGACCCTGTATTATCACAACTAAGTTTTTTTTATTTTGATTAGTAATTGCTACTAGCAGTGAAATAATTCCATTATTAGTAATATAAGTTCGAAGGTGGGGGGGGGGGGGGATTCTTTGTTCTTATTTTTTATTCGCGTATAGGCTCAGCTAAGCCGTTTCACGTCAACCCATTGGGATCTTTTGTGCTTCCCTCTGCCTTAGACCATTATTTTATAGATACTATGTAGTACTATGTTTAAGATATCTATAATCTCCTAACTCTGGATAAGGGGAAAGGGATTGTTAGTAATGGAGACTAAAAATCCCATTGCTAGCAATATATCTTACCAGGTCGAACTCTACGCGGTTCCCCCTGGAAACTATCATGGTTAATTCCTGATTAATTCATCATGATGGGCTAACTGGCCTGTTTTCATTCTCATCTATCTCCCTTCACTGGTGCTCCACCAGCGTATCCCGTTAGCGCAGGCGGGGTTACCAATCCATTTTCATCCAACAAAAAAAAAAAAACTCTGGATAAGCCTTTACCAGTAGAATCATAGTTGCAAATTAGGTGTTCCATGGTTTCCGATTCTTCGCTGCACAAAAAATTCACATTACACAGAAAGGATTGTTCAGAA